TTATCTTAAATAATAAATAGTGTGTGAGTGTTTTTATCATTTCATTATTAATATCATTGTTTTTGAAAACATACTAACTATTAATTTTTATTTTATACAGGAAGAAGTAAGTATTCTCATCATTTCACTATTGTTACACTCAATATCATTGTTTTTTTTGAAAATATTAACTGTTGATTTTCATTTTATTTTAAATAATAAATATAGGCTGTAAGTATTTTCATCATTCTACTATTATTACAGTCAATAACATTGTTTTTGAAAACATATTAACTGTTTGATTTTCATTTTATCTTAAATAATAAATATAGGAAGTAAGTATTTTCATCATTTCACTATTGTTACAGTCAATATCATTATTTTTGAAAACATATTAACTGTTTGATTTTCATTTTATTTTAAATAATAAATAGACCGTAAGTATTCTCATCATTCCACTATTGTTACAGTCAATATTATTCTTGAAAAATATTAACTGTTGATTTTCGTTTTATTTTTAAATAGTAAATAGAAAGTAAGTATTTTTATCATTTACTACCATTACCATTGTTTTTGTAAACATATAACTGTTGATTGATTTTCATTTTATTTTAAATAATAAATAGGCAATTACTATTATTACAGATTTTTATTATTTTTGAGAATGGAATTTGATTGGCTCAAGCCGGCTAACATCACTATGTAGAACTCGAATAAATATATAAAAATGAAATTTGATTAAATTTTGACAATCAAAAATTTTTAATATGATGTTTTAGAAATTGTCCAAGAGCCTACATAATAATATGTTTTGGAAATTTTGTATATGAAAACCCAAGTTTGGTGATTCTGAAAAATTATTTTTAATTACATATTTTTTAAGAACTTTTTTTAAAAAACATATCCACCGATTTGCGCAACATTTTGGGGGACGAAATCTGGGAAAACAAAAATATGGGGACCATATTTTTTAAAATTTTTAAATAATCCAATTTTGCGTTGTAAAAAAAATTCTTGATCAAATCCACCATTATTTTATTGACATAAAAGGTATTATGATTTTGTTTTGATTCGTAAAAAAAAAATTTGCATATTTGAACACTTTATCATGATTGAAATTGAATGATGTATTTACAAATCGTTATATATATAGAATTAGAAGATTCACCATAATTTTGGAATAAAGGCATTCATGTTGAAAAAAAAAAATCATTTACAAATAAGTGGAAAGTGCAGTAATTGAAATTTTAAACATGAAAATCGCCTTTATTATAATTATAACCAAATTAGTAAAAATATTAAAACAATAATTATAAATATATATCTTTTTGTAATTGTATATAAAATAATAATATATTAATTTCAATTAAAACATTAAATATAATAAATAATAAAAAACATTAAATAAATAAATAAAACTATTACTTCCTTTACCTATTAAAAAATCAATAATTATTAATAGACATACTGATTATTGTCATAATATCTAATCGCCCCACCCAATCTTTTTCACCAAGTAAATTTCTTAATTTCTCATCATTCCACTATTGTTACAGTCAATATTATTCTTGAAAAATATTAACTGTTGATTTTCGTTTTATTTTTAAATAGTAAATAGAAAGTAAGTATTTTTATCATTTACTACCATTACCATTGTTTTTGTAAACATATAACTGTTGATTGATTTTCATTTTATTTTAAATAATAAATAGGCAATTACTATTATTACAGCTTGAAAAATATTAACTGTTTGATTTTCAATTTATTTTAAATAATAAATAGGCAAGTATTCTCATCATTTACCATTATTGCATTCAATTGTTTTGAAAAAAATATTAACTGTTGATTGATTTTCATTTTATTTTAAATAGAAATAACTCTTTGGCTCTTTGATAACTTCATTTATCTCTTTAACTTTTTATACTTTTATCTTATATTTATCATTATTTTCTAATATAATTTTTACATTGCTTTAAGATTCATGCAAACTATATATTATAACATAGGAAGCAAACATAAATAAATCAGTTCATACACAATAAGTGTTTATTATAATTTGCATTTTATTTTAAATAGAAAATGGCTCTTTGGCTCTTTGATAACTTCATTTATCTCTTTAACTTTTTTTACTTCATCTTATATTTATCTTTATTTTTTATTATAATTTTTACATTGCAATTCATGCAAACTATTTATTATAACATAGGAAACGAACATAATAAAACAGTTCATACACAATAAGTGTTTATTATAATTTGAAAAGATTTATATGTGTCAATTTAAATGGGAATGAA